CGCGAATGCTTCTTAGCTACCAGGATGAAAACCCAGGATTCTCATCTAGATGGAAAATAGAAGTATAAAAATTTCCCAAATCCACAGATATTTATGGTTGAAAGCTAGGTCGTGAGATATTGTGTACGCCTTTCTCTTGAGCTTGACGCTTTCAAAGAATGCTTCCAGGTACGCAAGAGTGGAGTACGTAACTTTCAAGTGGTTGCTGATCGAGATATATCAAGAATTACGGCATTCAAAGTGTGAGTTTGCATCGAACGTTCAATCTTATCTCAATCAATAACCCCACGCCATCTAACTTCCCTATTGAGAAACCAAAGCCCTCCAGCCTCCACCTCAGCCAAATCTCCTCTAACAACGAATTTTGTCAATGACTTTCCGTGGGCTTCCTCCACATTTTTAAACAAATCTCGAAATGTCCCATCCAATAAATGTATACCTCCATTGGAAAGTTGATTTGGCCAATGACGTCCTTCCCCTCCAATCTCTAATACTTGGAGAGTAGGAACCAATGATATAAGAAATCTTTGGAGAGGAGCGAATTTACATGCCCCACCTTCTACATGGAGTCTTTGAAGGGGGAAAGGAGATTTCGATCCATCAGAGATTGGTAGGAGGCGCTCAAGAAGTGGTGTAACATCAAGCTTCCGCTTGGACTGAATGCATAGTTCCAAATTTTGCAAATTCGTAGCAGCCCTGATACATGCGGCAAGATTCTCAAGTGCTTGCAAAGTGTCTGATTCACTGGGCATATCGTTATAATCTAAAACTAAGCGTAGATCTGTAAGATTGTGAAAAATTGGTGTCATAGATCCGAAAAGTGCCTTGTTCTGCCCGAAAAACTCAAATGGTAAGGAATCATGGGACAGGCTTCTGAATGTCAGATCTCCAATGTTACGGAGCAGTGAGAAGAGGATGATTGTAAAACGCTCCTTGGTTAACTCTCGGCGGAGCAATCTCGTAGAAGGAATCTTCCAGATTGATGCTAGTAAAGCAAGCTCCGGTTCATCAGGTAGAGGAAAAGTTGTCATAGATATGGACAGTGCAGATAAATTAGGTAGGGAACGAAAGACTTCAGACAATATATCTGGATCACACATCCAGGGGGTATATTCCTCTCTCAAGGGTTTGAGGCTAGAATATCGAAGCCAAGCTTCTTCGGCCGCTTCGACACGAGTTTCTGCATGGCGAGTATATTGTAAGAAGTATGTATTGTGCCTTGCGTGATATTCATTGATCTCGCCAAGGTTGAGTTCGATAGATTGGATGCATGGTGCAAAGGTTGGGTGACGGCAAAGTTGGAGGATGCGATTGAAATCAGGACGATGTGCGAAACCGTAGAATTTGGGAAGGATGAGGTAGGGTGTACTGAGGGTGCAGAGAAATCGGCAAGTCAAACGGGCGGACTTGATGGAGGACAAGTCCATATAAAGGATCACAAATCGTATGAGCTCGATTGGTAGTGAGGAGAAATCTGGGCGAGAAGGTGGGGGGAGTTCGATATCTGCCATTGTGATGGGATGGCGAGGTAGAGAGTTGATGAGAAGCTTTTATGGAAGCTTTTTGCGTGTAACTGGATTGATCAATCTTTCAATCGCATAATCTAATTAATATTAGCTGAGGCTTTCTCTCATCAGTCTTGCGACAAGAGTTCGACAGTAAACAGTACCAATAGTGAGTGCGTACAACGGAAGATTACAAATATGCCCAGAATTCACAGTCGTGGCAGAATGTAAATGTAAACCTACGTATATATATATGGACCTGCGGGGTGCAGACGCAAGTGCCCTCATTACTATTGGATCTACCGTATTCATTTGAAGAATCCATTGACGCTAAGCCAGGATCCAAAAAATATATTCATGATTCAGGGTTGATTCGTCCAAAAACTGAATCGTGAACCAGGATTTCTATTTTTAATCGCGGGGCCTCAATTAAATGACCTCTAATTTGCTCGGTTGAAATGACGAAGGAAATATTTACCATCTGTTCTGAGATTACGGAAATTTACAAATATCTGGAACCGTTTTAATTATAACTGATTTCAGTAACACAGCCGAAGCTATTGAAATTTCAGGCTCCACGTTATAATTTATTATATAGCTAGTAAAGTATCATAGTGATTTGTTTTTCAATAAATTACTTAAATTTTTATTACTTCTCAAAATATATATTTATTATAATTGCTATTGTAGAATTATAATAAGTTTGTTCAAGGGAGATTAGATATATAACAGAAAATAATGAAATTTAGCCGGTATAATCAGGATTCCAGTACAGATATCCAATCTAGCGAGGATCTACCGAACGTTAATTCGAACCAGAGCATCTGAATGTGAGATAATACAACCATACCTTCCAAACGACCACCCGTCGTAAATAATCTCATGATCCCATAAAAAATGTCACTCTTATCGTATGCTCTTTTCTAAATCTCTCATGGTTTTTGCACTCTCAAATTTATAAACCTTGCTAACTAATATCGTTCCCAAATATTAGATCCTTCCGCGCACTCCCTCCTCGCACGCGTGCAATGATAGGCGCAAGCTTCATTGCTTGGGGTACAATCGGTCTCTACCTATCCGAAACAGCAGAAAGAAAGCTGGGCTTTGAACCTACTGAGCAAGATAAGGCTAAGATGCCTAAACTTACGGTGGTTGAGAAAGAGAAGTGAAATTAGTTGAAGGCTGGGTTGTCTGGATGTTTGGCAGACAAAATCAATGCAGCAGGACAGTGCTACAAGAGGCAATGTGATATTGAAACGATTTCCGGGATTTGAAGAATATCGAGGCGAATATTGGACGGATACTGGACAGGTTATGGTATACTTGGGGAGAATGGAGAACATCTGCATACCAGATATAGTTGAGGAGGTTAGGCTGGGTTGAAGCTGGAACGAAGGATGCAAGAAAGAAACGCTGTGAATGGTGCGCATCAGTATTGATACGCTGCTTGTAGCAGGTAGTGAATATGCGTTCGGGAAACATCAATACATAAGGTATATCCGCAATGTCCCTCGCTTGAAAAATCTTTCGAGTAGCCTTGAGCTGCGACTCGCTCTATAATTTACATCGCCAACCCACCGGAGACCACTTTTGCGGATTACTTGGACTTCGAAGAGGGAAGTTCTTTATGGGATATCATAAAATTGCCGCTTACCTTCGCATCTCGCGAAGTGGGTGCTGTAACAGGATTACCTACGACCGCACTCAGGTTTCGGCACATGATTATTCACCTAGTTATCTCAGGTCCAATTCATAGTATGTTTAGACCTAAAATATGGTCGAGGCCAACTGCACATCCATGTGATTAAGGGCATATCAAGCTTTGGATAGATAAGTACCTGAATGCGGTCGCACCTCAACCTCAATTCCTACAAATGGAGTTCGCGCACCATCTTACTCGTCTTCTCATATTTTGTTTAGCTAGCAAAGCAGACTCTGCGTTAGTGTACGCACATTCCCTTTCTAGTATACTCACAAGAAAATGTATACTAGGTCCCCAAGCCAATGTAATGTGGAGCCAGGGGAAGTGTTAGAAGTTAGAATTAGATATCTAGTGCATCTTTTTGGGATCCATATCCTAGGTATCTGCTCTAGCAACACTTCTCAATGTCCTCAAGTAAGAGCAATGAAATATGTTCACTTTCATGAACACTTGTCATTGCTTCAATTTGCAGTAGGGCGCCGACTCATAAGACTACTTTCAAAGATGATGATCATCATGATGTTCTCCCACACCCTTTATATTTGCCAACCCCAATCTATTGCTCGATACAGAGCACAAAATAAGTCCAACGGGAACAGAACTAGTTGAAAAATATACTTAACTTCCTCCGCGTTCTTCGAGGCGTTCTTCGTACACAAACTAGGTAGACACATCTAGAAATCCTATAATAGCAACCTAGCATCAATGATCCATCTATTGTATCAAGTATTTAAATGCCGGAAATCACTTGCTGCAAAGATACATACCACATGACTTCGACACTCTTGATTCCTTCTCCTCACATCCGCATCACAATTGTTTGCAAAATCCCGTTAAACATTTCTCAAGAAACCCCCTTCCCAATCAACCGAACAATTAATCCACCATACATCACACACTCTGCAATCTCTTCTCCAACACATTATACAGTTCTCTATGTTAAGAAGCTAAGCTATAAAGAACTCGCGAGAGGATGGAAGAGAATGTGGGGTGATACCGAGCTTCGGATTTCCTTTTTTTTTTTCTCTTTTCCGAAAAGTCGCGGTTTTAGTTGAACTGGCATCTAGGCGATGCGGTGAAGAATTTTGCCGGGGAGAATGGGTGGAAAAGGGGAAAACGGTGGGAGAAGTAGATCCTCTAAGAGGGAGGTAAATGCTGCCGAGAGGGTGAGAATTCGAATCGAATCGAGGATATGAACACGAGACATGAGGGCGGAGAGAACTGCGAAGTATGATATTGCATATGCCATATACAGAATTTCCCTTCTCCTTGAAGCTGGGGATGTCGTTTCGATAGATTGTAGCGTTTTAAGAAGTTGTTCAATTTATAGGGATACTCGCGTGAGGATAATCATTCCTTTTCAAGTCAAACTACATTACATCCGTGGATCGTCCCCAATAATCCATATAAGATTACCTGTCTGTACCTTTAGAATTTCACTTTGTAAATCTGCATTTTCTTACTACTTTACAAAAAGAAACGTAGATATAATTACCCAGTCCTCCATCCAACCCAAGAAAAATACACAATCCCCAACCCTCAAATTTCCCCAAACAGTAAATTAATAAGCTTAACTCCCATCCTCATCACTCTCAGGCCCATATAGTACATATACAAAAGCTTATCCCAGCCTCAAATTCCCAGTCCATCAGCAGTGCATTCGAGAGTTAATCCAGCATTGCCTTATTTAAGAACTACTCTAGATAGAACTTCCTTATTCATATCCTTATATCCTTATATCCTTATATCCTTATATCCTTATATCCTTATATCCTTATATCCTTATATCCTTATATCCTTATATCCTTATATCCTTATATCCTTATATCCTTACTGTGACGGAAAAGTCGTAAACGGAGTCAATTCAATTACTTAGAATCTAAAACTAAAGAACTAAGAAGATTCTAAGTAAGAAGGTCTTTATATAAAGGGCTAGTGCACGTGAGCCACTAGTGGGTAACAACCGTCACATAACACTTACATCCTTATATAATTATATCCCTATATCGTTATACAGTACTAGCGCACCACTACCGGCCGAATAGCCTTTTCACATCAAAACTCAACCATTTTAGAAAATTATAATAACTTTGATTATTATAATAATATAATCAAACTTAAGAAATTGAAGTATTTCGAATTGATTATATAATAAAAATTCGATAGATTATTTTTTAAAATTTCAATTCAGTTTTTATGAACAAAATGTTACGTCGGACTCCACAAGCCCATTACCACGTGATTCAATCACGTGATGGACCCTACATAATATGCACGAAAAATAAAGGTCCAACATATTCTTAGGTCCAGGACCTTTCGGGTCCTGAAGGTCCATAGCATGAAGGTCTATATAGTCAGAACGGATTTCCTTTGTATAGAGCTTCGTGCT